ATGTGTGTCTTCTTCTCTCTCTCTCTCTCTCTCTCTCTCTCTCTCTCTCTCTCTTCATGCTCATCTTTTATGCGCGATATTAATATTTTTATCCATTTTTATATTTAATACTTTTTTTGTCGGTCCTCTTCCATGTTCGCCTCCTCTCTTTCTCTCTCGTACAGTTATTCTCGGTTCAAACATGCATAAATTATAATTATTATCTGAATAATAATTTAATAATTCTTTGTTTTTGTTACATCCATTTGTTAACAATATTTCAATCGATAAATCATATCGCGTTACGTTTTAACGATGCATGTAAATTGAAAGTTTTTATTGCTGTGTAAAATGTACGAAATCGCCAATAGTTAATAAGTCGAAATTTATGGGATACCTTTTTACGTTTTGCAAACAAGAAAGGATCCTATTAAGCGCAGTAGGATTGGACTCTACAGGTTGCAATTATGAGGAGAGACTATAAATCATAGATGCTATGGACAGCACGAGAGAGAAAGAGACATACTAGTAGTCCTCAATTTTCTACTAAATTTGAACCCTGACTAACGAATCCCTCGTAGTCGCATGAAGTATTAGTAGTCGTTGTCTACGTCACGAAGCAAACACTGATACTTGTTTAGAAGTGTGTTTAATTGTATAGTGCAGAAAGAGTTGGTCGATCTTGACGCATTGCGTTTAATACGAGAATACAAATTTAATCACGCGCGTAACAGAAGCATCACATATAAAGTGATTGCGAAGCTCTAATTCTAAAACGCAAGGCATCAAGATCGACCGAACAATCGACGTAGATCTCGAGATACCATCCTCTCCTCCTCTCCGTCCTCTCTGAAGAAAGACAGATTAACGCTTCGTCACAGAAGCAAGGAAAAAAAATTGACAGCGCACATGGAGGACCTGGTTGGATCTGACCTTGCAGTGTCATTGTAGGGTATCAAGGGTGAGAGCGGTTCGGCATTGGCGAGGGGTGCCCCCGGCCTGCCGGGTACGAAGGGTGAGCCCGGCGAACGGGGTTACCGGGGCGAAAAGGGCGCCAAGGGAGACGTGGGTTCACCAGGTAGATTACTACAAAAGCCATCCTACCGCGGCGGAAAAATCGGCGATAAAAAAAGGATAAGCACCGTAAAAAAACGATCATGTCCGCTCCTTTATTCCTCGTGGGGCATCCTCCCACGAAGGTTCGCGTTTTCTCGTCCTTCGGCCGCGCCTCTCCGCACCCCCGTGCACCCGCGCGAAAAATCGGAAAATTACGGGAATTCGAGTAATCTTTTTCAGGACGATGGTTAACAGCCGCGTCTTCTTTCAAGTAATCCGTGATCGACGACGATTAAAATCAGATTTCACTTTAAGATTTTCTTTATTTTTTTCTCCTTTTTTTAAGTTTGATTTTTTCCTTAATTTTTTTTTCTAATTTTAATTTGTAGTTTTAATTTTTTTAACATGTGAATAATATTAGAAAACACAAACAATATTCGTGCGATTTGTTTAACTCCATAGGATCATCAGTGGCACTTTTTTTCAATATTTTTGTATATAATCCTACGAAAAAATAGGATCTCACAATTTCATTGTGTATATTCAAAGTATCCTGATGTTAAAGAATCCTATTCTTTCATTTGATTATGCAAACATGCAGAGAATAATGCGAGTCCACTGAACACGGACGCGAGATAAGTTCAGGTTTCCTGTTTAACTTTCCGAAGATATGTAATAGCGAAACGATTCGAAAAGTTCTTTCGCAAAACTTGAAAACGACCCCGCGTTGGCCCCTGGGGAAAGAATTTGAGGCTGTCGTCCTCAATTCTCTTCTGGACGTAACACGCCACAGGCTTCGCCTTCCGCAAAAAATTTTAATCAAAAGTTAATAACCTCGATCGTTCGGTAGGAAATTAAATATTAATCCGCTTCATATCGAATTGGGATATTTTAATTAAACGTTTGTTTTCTAAAAGGGCCATCGGACGATCGATATTTATCATCGCCGCATCGATGTGCATCGTGAATAGTATTGCGCGTTTAGCGACAAACATTGAAAAATGTTGATGAATGTTTTTTGTTACGTCGAAAAATATTGGCGGAATATACGGCGGGATGTAATAAAAGCTATCAATACATTAGCAATATTTCATTGCCCGCTGCTTTAAAGTTTGCGTCCAGCATAAAATATCCAAGCGCGCGAGATTAGTTTGTCAATACGGAAAAACTAGGATCAATCTCGGGCCCTTTTATTATTAATTTATTTAAACAGTTACCCTTCATTCTTCTTTATCTTTAAAAAGAGATACGTGCCGCGTGTATTTAGAGATATTCTTCGATACTTAGATCGGCAATAAAGAGTAGAGTGTCTGTAGATCTCTCGGGTGAGCCATTCTTCCGAGACGCGATAAACACGCCGGAAGTATTCCCGGCACGGGAGATGCGCTCGGGGCGAAATGAGAAGTCGGGGGGGAGAGAGGGGGGCGCGGAAAAACGAAACGGAAGGAAGACGAAGTGGGCAACGCGGGGTGGTTTCTTGCCACGCGCGCGTTTACGGAATTGCGGGGCGTCATTGATCGCGCGCTCGCGCGCGAATTAATCTAACTTCGACGAGACCGAGTAACCGGGCGGACTCACGGCCGGCATATTCGCTTTCAGGGCCCAAGGGAGAGGCGGGAATACAGGGCTTGCCGGGGCTCAACGGCACCGACGGCGATCCCGGTATCCAAGGACCCCCCGGATTACCGGTAAGTAGGACGCAAATGAGAAATGGTTCCCCCCAAATCTCCTCCGTCTTGTCCTTCATGGTGTAATATTCGAGAGACGTTACGTGCCACTATGCTTTTACAAAGGTAAAAATTTAATATCCCTCTCGTCGTCGTACTTTTGCATAATGTCATCAGCGTATTTTACGTTGCAAAAATTGTTGAATCAAATTGAGAAAATTTCAGAAAGAAATCCCGAGAGTTGTGGGAAAAATTAATTCGCAGCGTACATCACATTTGGCTGTGTCTTTCGACGCTTCAAAATTTAACATTTCTGTTGATGGTTGCGTTTCACACGATTGATGTATTTTATATTACAAAACTAGAACAACGGCATTATTACCTAAAAAGTTTTTGAAATGTTTTCTCGTGTCACGTCAGTAACAAATGATGATTTTGAGATTAGATCGAGTATCTTCGTGCTCTTATCTTTCTGCGTGCAATCAGAACCTTGAGATCTCCTGGTGTCACGTCAGTAATAAATAATAATTTAAAGATCGAATTGAGTATGTTTGTTCTCCGTGCAATTGGAGTCTTGCAATATGATGAACGTTGTCGAAATGGAGATTGAAAGAAAATTAAATGCATTATTACGCGCATTATTACGCGCAGTTCAAGGAAAATAGATTCGCAACATATCAAATATCAAATATCAAATATCATAAATATATTCATGGAATATTAGATATCCCTTTCATCGCGCGCAAAGCTTTCAACACCCGTCACTGATCAGTTGCATTGATATAATATTACGGGCATTGTATGCTGATCTAATTAACGTTGCAAGCGCAATATTACGTAATGCGCGAGGGATTTTCCGCGGAGTTAGGAAGTTAAGAAAGGAAGTTGAAGTAGCAACATTTCACGCATGTCGTGCCCGTTTCATTTCTCTTTTCAGGGAATATCTGGACCTAAGGGTGAAAAGGGCGACTACGGCGACATTGGTCCCCCCGGCCTTATGGGACCACCGGGTTTGCCCGGTCCACCGGTACGTAAATGGCTTCAAACGTCATCGCCTCAAACGATCCTTCCTGTCATAAATATTCTGTCTTATATGATTCTGCCTGTCGACAGGGCTACCCTGGGTTGAAAGGTGAAAAGGGAGAAAAAGGCGAATCGGTGAGTGCGTTTGTCAAATTTATTACTTGTGTTCATCGAACTATATTGTTCCCATCCTTCGAAAATTAATATTACAACTAATCTCTACTCGTAAAAAAAAAGACTAAATAATGATATATAGAAGGAATTATATAAATATATAACATGAATTATGTGATAAGAGAAGAGTATAAAAAATTATATACAGAATTTATATAAAAATATATTTTTTAACATTTTATTATTCACACATGTCACACACTTTCAATTATATTTTTATTATTTTGCGCGCTTAATATCATAATCATCATATATCGAATCGCGTATGCAATAACCGTATGAAATATGATCTCACCGGAGCGATTTCGCAGAAATTAGTTTCAGTCAGAATCCAATAAATTTAGGCAAGATTCTATTATCACAGAATAACAGCGGTATATCTTTTACGAACGATCGTTCGATGAACGCAGCTGCCGTGATTTCCGATCGATCGATCGCTGCTGCGGATCTTTTACTTTTTATCATATTTTGTCACAATAGCTCCGCGATCGATCGGTGCGATCGCGATAGCGCGAAACTGCGGTTTTCGACGCAGGTGTGTATTAAGCAAAATCTCACGATAAAATGAATTTCTTTTCATGTCGGGACGTCGATCTTCCACCCATAGAAGTACAAAAAGCTCAGACGAAGACAGGTATGTGACAGTTTGTATCCACGATGTCGTCCTCGTGTCTTCGTTCTCGATCGCGCGACAAAAGAATCGCCCGATCGAGGAAGGATGCGCGAAAGAGGATCGTTAATGTAACACTGAATAGCGTGTAACATGATATTAATGCAACATGTATGAACACGGCGAATACGCGTTTGTTCGCAGGGAGACGGCACGTTCGAGATGAACGCCGGGGAAGTGGTAAGTTATCTCACGAAAGCGCGTTTCTCTCACGAATACGTCCGCTTGTATGTACGCGATATACGCGGTAATGTCTCATTCGTTCAAAAAGAAAAAAGAAACAGAGGAAAAAAAATGTGAACAATATCACTTTGCTTCCGTATTTTCTGTTCGAGCGGGTTTTAAATTTTCGGTCGCGTCGCCATTGCGATATCGACTTTGTGTTCCGTTATGGCCGCGTTTTATGCAGTTATGTAACCCTTTGCGGCGCGATTTATGGGGATTATAAAGCAATTTGCTCGAAGCTATAAAAATTGTCGAACAAAATCCGGTTTTTCCTCGATTTTACGGTACATTCATCTATACAGGAATTTTTAAAAAAACAGAATACATTATATTTTTTAATAATTATATTGGATTAAAGTTGAATTATTTTAGAATCTAAAAACAGTTTGCTTCACGGAAAAACGAAAGTTTTTTTCAATGATAAGCGTAGGTCATTTTTAATCCATGGCATTGTGTCAATGCGTAGATAATGGGCCCACCCGGACCCCCAGGACCCGCTGGTACCCCCGGACTGCAGGGCCCACCCGGGATCAAGGGTGACAGAGGACATGATGGCGCCAAAGGCGATCCTGTCAGTAACTATTATCTATTTGTTGTCCGCGTATAAAATGTATGAAAGCGCAGTTACACGCGTCCACATTTTTACGCGATAGAAAACGAGTGTTGATTTCTCTCTCCGGCGCGAAATAGAACAGCGAATAACAGAATCGATCTGTTTACGTCGCCGTTTTGCGCGCAAAACTATCATGGGAACTTTTTATATTTTAACTATAACTCGTATATTTTTCTTTCTCCCCGTCATTGAATTTGGGAAACCATTATACCAGTTCAGTTATGATCGCAATAATAAATGGCGTTGTTTTTTTATATTATTAGTTTAGTCCGCGTAGCGAACAAAAAAAATTGTCGCGTGCTAAATAATACAATAAAAAAAGTTTATTCTTTTCGACATTCCGATTTATTTAGTATCTTTTTATGTCGCAACGATCGAAAGTAAACTATAATAAGTAAACTATAAATCAAGAAAAACGTTCGCTTTGGTCGCGAAATAAAAGGAGAGAAAAACCGGTGAAGGGCCGTAGATTGACGTATAGTTGAGAACCCTCCGAACGCGGGAAAGATCGCGTTTGCGATGTGACTCGAGGCGTGAAGCTATTCACGCCGGTGATCTTTGAGATCACCTTTTTGCGTGCGCGACACCATCGCGATGCGGACAAGCCCGTTCTCACGCGTCGCTTTTTCTTTTTTCACGTTGCAGGGAGAGAAGGGTGCCAAAGGGGATCCTGGTCCGATGGGACTGCCCGTACGTATTTTCTCTCCAGATTACACACCGCATGCTCACACGTATACACGCGTAGTTTTAAGTGCGCTTTAAAAAAGAAACGCGGATACAGGACACACAAAGGCGGATAGGACGTAGACCGAATCCCCCCCTGGACGTTCTCGGGAAAAAAGTCCTGTTGCCCTGCCTTGCTTTTTCTGCAAAAATCGAGTTTCAAAAATTCCGAGCACCCTTGTTTAACATTAGTATCCTTTCCGGTCCTACTATTCATTTTGTGAATTTACAATTCAACGTTTTTACGCGCGACAGTAGTACTGTCGCGCAAAAAATGAAAAACAACTGAAAATCCCATAGTGTGCCTTATGAATATTCTTATTAATGCGTAAAAAATTCCATTGTAAAAAGTAATGTCAGCTACAAATTATTTTTTACCGATATCCGAATCTACGACATACAAAGTTTCCTTTTTTCCGCTTCTTGGTAGAAAACTTGAACAGAAACTTGGACAGAAACTTGACAGAAACTTGGGACTGAAAGGGTTGGTGGGATATATTGTGGCACGTGGAATGATTAACGAATTGGACTTTATCGGCAGAACGAAGTAGGTACACGAGAAAGAAAGACGGGAAGAGGCGTGCGCACAATGTGTACGAAGATGTATACGCAATCTCTCTGCATGCAAAGAAAGAACGAAAAAAATACCAAAGTAAACAAGCGTAGAGCCTGCCATATTCTCCTCCGAACGGCGGAGAAGTTGCGCGCGCTTGACCACCACCTGCGAGACCCGCTGCGCGGAGTCGTCAAACCGCGTCAAATCGCCGGCGAGACACTGCTGATGGGCGTTCTGTCTATCTACTTTCAGGGCCCCATGGGACTGAGAGGAGAGTCCGGAAAGCCCGGGGATTCCGGGAAACCTGGCGCCATGGTAAGAACGCGGACCTCCCGCTCCTAACGTCATCGTAACTTGGCGTCGCCGCCGCGGAATTCGCTGATAAGCCGATAAGTGCGTTTACATTATCGCGCGACGCAGCGCCTGCAGCGAGCGTGCCTCTCTCGATCGCTTCTCGAGTACGCTTACTTCTTTGCGTGTACATACGATACATACAAGCGGCATAGGGTTAGAGGGAACGTTCACGACGAGAGCGCGGTCACGTCACGAGAGTGGCGATTCGAGAGGAGGCGAGCGGACGCGCGAATGCTCGCGAGGACAGTCGCTTCCGCCGCCGCCGCCGCCGACGATGACTGCCGTTAGATCGATAGAATTATGCAATATCGCACGGCGTTTAGTTGCTAGAGTCGGCTGCTGGATTCCGCCATCGTCCGAGACGCGGGAGATCTCGAGCGCTGTGTCGGTCGGGATCTCCCGCCAACGAGATCGCTGTGACGTCAAACTCAACGTTCGAGGTGTCTCGCTGACGCGAAATTCAACGTCAACCTTCTCTGAAATTGAGAAGACTCGATTCACGCCGGTACGCGCGCCAAGATCGCGCGATTTTCTCTCTCGATGTCGGGAAATAGTACGCGTACATCGCCGTACCTCGATCGAATTTCGAAGGCACATGTGTGTCTCGTCCGCTCTGGAAAAACACGCGCTTTGGCGTTGCTGTTTTTCTTCGCGCGCAACTTTGCTTGAGAAGCCCAAAAGTTCTTTGTAATCTGCGATCATAATTTTTCACGGCATTTTCACGGGCATATCAAATAGATTCATCGAGCAATTCGATTGAAATTCGTACCGATGTCCGATGTCGGAGACTACAGGAACGCGGAAGGAACGTCTTCCACGCTATTGAAAAAAAGAAAAGCCTCGTCAAAATTGGCCAGGAAGTGAAAATTACGCTAGTTGACGACATTGGAACAAAGTTGTATACGGGCTGTCTGGTTATTGCCTAAAATTATTTTTAGAAGACGGATTCTTTGACGAATTTAAGAAAATGTTTCGATGTAAAGTGTTCCCGTAATTATATTCCTGAGATTACTGAGATTACCGTCTGAAAAAAGTCGTCCCGATTTTAATTCGTCGAAAGAATCGTTGCTAAAATATCCTCTCGGTAAGTCTGAGACCTGTACCATATGTTCGATGCCGCGTATATCGCGGAGCCGCTTATTTTGCAATAGGATTTAGACCAGATTCGCGGCAACGTGAGGCAGCTAATGATTAATTCGTGGGCAGGGAGACCGCGGTACCACACGTTTTAACGAGGTCCACGAAATTTGGTTTACGCCGCTTTCAAAGTAAGCTGATCGCGACCGTGCGCTAACGCATTATCACCATCCGTCCTCTTAACTTACTCTACATGTCGGCTTGACGGTCAAACACAGCTCGCGCCGATCGAGAAAAACGGGTTCTCGATCACGGACACGAGTGTTCAGAGTTTAGTGGGTCTAGGAAAGGTATGAACTTCACCGTCCCACTGAATTTTGTATCATCAGTGTATACGAAAAGACGTACGGACGAGTCACTTAATATAAGCGTGTAAGAAGAATGCGCGATATCGATCGTATCGAATAAAACATGAAGGCTTTAGTTATCGCAGCATAAGGGAATAGAATTTACGACGTCTCATTTTCCATCGAGAATCAAACGATATATACGAAATATTCGTAAAATCTCGTAAATTTCATTCTTCTTTGGTTTATTTTATTCTCTCGGGTCGCATTCGACCGAATTTACGTAGTAAAATTTGCATAACAACTTGAAAACTGTGACCTTTTTCGAATTAGAATTAAATTTTTATTTTAAATACATTTTTTACAATTGTGATGAAAGTTACAAGAAAGTAATCAAAATCAAATGACGGTACGGTTATTTATAAATAGAAGAGGAAATAGATTTTAATTTTCGCCTAAGATAATTTGACGCGTCTTGGAAAACAATTTTCAGTCTGTCCCTTGTCTAGCAAAATCCACTTTTCCGTTGTGCCCCCTCCTGAGAATAATTCAGTCGGCTTGTACTTAACGAAAGCTCGCTCTCGCAGCATCGCCGGCACCTAATAATAACCCAGCCATTTATCATGATTTCTCTTCGTTCTACATTTCTTCGTAGCATTCCAGTCGCATTTCACGAACCATCAAGAATTCCGCATGGTTTTACGTGAGGAATTCCGCAAGATATATTGATGAAGGAAAAGAGGAGGAAAACTTAAAAGGGAATAAAAAATAAGGCTCTCCTGATCGCATCGCTATTGTACTAAATTGTGACGTCAAAAGCGAGAAATCGGACGTGATCTTTTCTCTTGCGGTGAAGCAAAGTAAAATAAAAAAATAAAATTTATATCGACGTATCGAGGTGTCGCGTTAAAAAATTTTCCCGATTACTCGTTGCTGGCGTCAATATCGCTTCATCAGGAACATCGATAACGTCTCTCATCGCTCAACGCTGCTCGACCTGGACGCGAACGTTGATAAGAACGCATTGGTTGTTAATTAAATTCGCTAGAAGCGGCTTTTCCCTCGTGCAGAACAGCTGGATGCGTTTTAAATCATCGCTCAGCGCTTGCATATAAAGCTTGCATAAAGCAGCAGCCTGGGACGTGGCAACGAGGGAGAGAGAACAATTGAAGAAGATCGCTGTATTCGGCCACCTTACATTCGACAAGAACCTTTTACGAGAGTCGTGGGAAACGTTGGTGATATCGCATCGTGAGCATCGGTCGCTAGAAAATTTCACGTTCGCCGAACAGTAGTAAAACCGTTTCCGAGATTGGCCGCCACGAATAACAAGTAGAAGATACGCCTGTCTTTCTCTCTGTCTTTCTCTCTCTCTCTCTCTCTCTCTCTCTCTCCTCCTCTCTCCCTCTTTGCCTGCGTTTTCGGCTTTTCCGCTACTATCCCGTCGGGTGCACTAACGTGCTATCGATAGTTCGCGATATTTTCCTGCGGAGCTCTAACGTAGCTGAGAAACAGGAGTGTGTGACGTTTTCATCAATAATAAAGTCGATACGACATGTTCGTCGGCGATAAACTAGGCGTCAACCGCATAAGCGTTCGCGGACGCGATTTAACGTTTACGATAGTCAATAATTTCGACAAGCGTTTCTCGGCGACGTGGTCAACAAATCCGGAGTTAACAAGTCTCTCCTTCCCTTTCACGAGAGTGTTTTGCGCGAATGCCGAGAGAAATGCAGAAGCGATATCGATATCGTGAATAACGAGCCTCGCGAGTGGCACGATAATAAACGCAAGATGTAATCATCGAGTAGATAATCACCTGGCCTAAGAGGGATCTTATTACGAGTACAACGAGACGCCCTATTGAAAGCACTTTTTAAAGACGATCTCGATATGTCTGGGAAAGTCGAAGGTACTAACTACTTCCTGCGGAGAATCGACGGCTGGTGTGTCTCCGATCGCACGGAAATTGATTCGGATAATACAATATTGTCCCTTCGGTCTTGGAACTCCGGTAGAGAATACAGTAGATCCGTAAAATTGTCTCATCCGCGGTTTTTCGCGCACGGGAATTAATAACGGCCAATTGTAATCGAAATTCCCCCTCGAGGGGGGAAGGGGGGGGGTAATCAATATCGAGTACAGGCATTTTGAGTCCCGTTTAAATCAACTTCCGTGCCGATCGATTGCGCACTTGACGTCTAAAAATACGGAGAGAGCAAGAAGAATCGCGAAGAGAATGTGCAGCGTGGAATGGACGGCGCTCTCACGGCGCGTCGTCACATTCGATGTACCGTATACCGTGGATTGTACGAGCGGACTGCATCCAACACACCTTATCCCTGCTGTGTACACCCCGATAAATTAACGCAGATTTAGTCTTAAGAGGATAACTGGACGAGAGACTGGGCGTGAGAGCGAAACGAAGCTCCGTCGACTCTGCACCGACGATTCTATTTGGCGGCAATTCTCCTGTGCGTGTAAAATTTACGACGTTCGCATATACATATTTAACACACATACACGAGCACGAACATGTAATATATATATATAATATATATATATATATATATATATATATGTGTGTATACAAAACGCTCACACATACACGCGCGAGTATACATGCATATATTGAAGGAACGTATGCGTGGAACGAAACGCGTCGAGATGCGCAAGTCGAGATGTGTATATAACTATATACGGGGGCGATTTCCAATCCTGTCGACGAATACGATTTCCCTACGGGATGCGAGAAAACGCTATTTTTTTTTTTTTTTATTAGTATTACTCTTGCGCGCACGAGTATCTCGTTATCTCGGTGAAGAAGCTAGTGTAAAATCGATATGGAAACGTCTGTAATTATCGATCCTGCGGGACAAGGAAGATATCTACATTTGTTTTAAGTCGATTCGATATGCAGCCCCGTTCTCGCTGAAATTTCAGTAACGGGGAAGGGGGGGTATTCGCGAGGGCGAGAGTACCCAGTAAAAAGTTCGTTTTACTGCTCCGGATAGATCACGAAAGTTCGTCGATGAAACTCGGGAACGCGCTGTATACTCATTTGTATGTGTATGTCTGTAAATGTAAGTACAAGTAAAAGATGCATATACACACGTAGCTGCGTATCGTGTGTGCGAGTATATACGTCCACACAGTATGTCAAGTCGTGTCTAAGATCTCTTCTCGCTTACGGATTCGTCGACGAGACCCGTAATCGACTCTTTGCCCCCAAACAGAAATTTGACGGGATCTAATTACAAAGTTTCCCCGGTATCCAAGATTAAAGGGTTTTTTCCTTGAATGAAAAACCGTATCGTACGGGTGCGAAAGCGGCTAATTTTTCAGTTAATTTGAGACGAATTTTGCCTTAACGGAAATTTCAATTTCACTCCCTTGCCAAATATTTGATCGAATTTTCGCCCGAGCGAAAGTCGGCTGCGAGCGCGGAAGGGCCGATATAATTGGGGGAAATGTTTCAGTAGACATAGGACACTCTGTGTGCACGTATATGCATATATACATATATGTATACATGCACGTATACATATATACTGTGTATATACACACACACACACACACACACACACACACACACACACAAAGCTCCAGGCGTGTGTGTGCGTGCGTTAATTGTTAAGGCGGCGCTCCTCTTAAGCCGATCAACTTAAGACGACCTAATTGAATGCGTATGTGAATACTGATTCTAACAGCAATTTGTTTTACATTGTCCCGATTAATAAACAGAATGTGCATGTGCCTGTGTCCTTTGCTTCTAAGAAAAAAAAAAAAATAATATATATATATACTGCCTACCAAATTAATGCTTTCACACACGATAATCCAGTAACATAATCAGATATACCTGCTTCTTTGCATTGTGCTACGACTGTTTGCGATCCGGTCAATCGGATAACGAAAGCTCTGTTCACTTTCCGTTTCTCTCTATGTATTTGGATCTGTCGCAAGTTGCAAGTTGCAATGGAAAACGATTAAAGACAAGGAAGAAAAGAACAACCAAAAATTAACACGTGTTAATTTGCTGCGACCACGACGGTGGCGTTAATCGGCGGCTCATTCAGACCGGCGATTAATCTTGCTACCTTAGAAAGTAAGATTCGAGAAAAGAAGAAGAAAAAGAGTCTAAACAAAGACGCGACAAGCGTCGATGCTTCGGTACGAAGTACGCTCGTTTTTTTTCTTCTCAACTTTGCTCAAGCTCTTGCTTCACTTACGACGCCGACCGCCCTCGATTGTCAGTCTGTCCTCTTTCTCTCTCTCTCTCTCTTTCCCTCTTTCCCCCTTTCTCGGTGTCGAGATTAATTTTGATAATATAAAAGCGGAGGTAAAGTATCTTGCGACGATGAGTCGAAGATGAGTTTCGTAGTTGAACGCCCGGAAAGAATGGCTAAAACGCTAAACGAATCTAATTCATTACGCGCCGAGTGAGAGTTTTACTCGCGGAAGAAATGTTTGCACATCGTTTTTAAGAGCAGGAACAGCACTCTCGAGACATTCTCTCCATCTCGAAATAATATATAATAAATCCACCTCAAATATTTACAGAGGATGGGGAGATTTCGTTGTAACAAGAGTGAGAGCAGAGAATCCAATAGAAGTCCAAAAATGCAATTTCGTTACAACGAAAACCGATCGAATATCCCCGGCTAATATCTGTACCGACACATCAAGCGCGATATAGCGCAACTATAACTTAATTTGAAAATCCGAGCGAAAATTTCGAAACTTCATCGCGTACGGGGAAGTTGCGGGATGTAACGCGATCGAGAGTTGCAGCTACACACACACGCACACACACACACACACATACATATATATATATTTATACAGCGAAACAGTGGCGTTGTGCAAATATTCTTTCTCGCCGAGTCGGTGAAATTTTCGAATCGATCGGCGTGACGGGAATTAAACGAGGACTGATCCTGAAACACTCGAGGGCGCAACGCGACGGTGTCTAAAGGCGATCTCTAATAATAAAAATTCCCCTCCGCGACATAGTTTTAAATCGCTGTCGACAATATTATTCGCTCGATATTATCGATGGGCTACGCCGTGTATCTGACGAGGTTTCCTCTACCTTTCAGGGATCACCAGGATTAGACGGCATGAAGGTGAGCGATCTACGGGATGACCCCGTTTTTCATTATAAGATTATCCTTTTCGTTCTTGGACACGATCTATTTCCGTTTTCGGTGTCTTGTCTCGTTTCGTCTCTCGCGATAAGAAATGTATAATGAATCGGCCGAAATTAGACCGAGTCGAGAAAACGCGAACGCGCGCTTTTTCCTCCTTGGCTTTTCTTACGAGGCGTGAGCGAGCCGAGATGCCAAAATGCCCGTCATGTTTCTTCATACTTTCAGGGCGCGCAGGGCGAGCCAGGAACGAAGGGAGAAAGGGGAGATCCGGGATTGCCTGTAAGTCCTATGTTTCATCAAGTATTTATCCGCCGTCGAATCTGATCCGTTTAACGCGTGGATATCGCCCGCTCATGTTTATCGAGAATTCTCGGATCTCTATATCTCGAGATTTACCGAGTATTATCCCGAGGCAATCTTGCCCTTCATCAAACAATAATTTTCCGGTCGAATCGCGCGCGAGGTGCTCCTCGGATAAATATTTCACGGACGGTTTTCTCTCTTTCTATACATTTAAAATCAATCTCGGCAATCGGATCGCTTTGACGAGAGTAATCATCACATAAAATCTTCATAGGAGACGAAGGATAAAAAAAAAAGTCTTCCGCGCGACATAACGACGTAACGAGGATCTCGCGGATCTTGATCGAGTTTTCAATCGTGACTCCATCTCGATCGTGATCCCACTCAATCTCAACTTCCGTCACTCGCGATCTCCCGAGTCCCGTGATCGCCGCGCAGGCACGTACCGAGATCGAGTCATGTTCGAGGAGAAACTGGCGTCAAGTCAACCCGCTGACTCGATTACATCTCGCCGTCGTCACGCTAACGAGTCGATCTGTGTTTGTCCCCAGGGTACCGACGGGATTCCCGGCGCGGAGGTACAGTTGGCTTTCGATTATCGCTCGTCCTCCGGCGCGACTGCGACACAGTCTGACACGGTCTGACCAGCCCGGGGTAACGACGACACATTCCGCCTGATCTACCCCGGGGACTGACTCAAAAAAAAAAAGAAAAAAAAGAAAAAAAAGAAAAAGATCAAATAGAAATCGAAAAGAGTTCTCTCTTTTTGCCTCCTCCGTCCGATTTGGAAGAGAACGGAGCAGCGTCTTGCGCCTTTCTCCCTCTTTTGTTCGGAATCTATTCTCGCAGACTCCAATTTTTTTTTTCCTTAACGCTTCGCGATGATTTTTTCACGTTTTAATGTTTCAGCTGGAATATTTTTTAGAGTCATTTGCCTCTGATAATGACGCAATTAGATTACGATCGACTTTGTATCGTTTTTTACGTCATTTGACATTTTCGCGCATAACAACGTTTATGCAAAGAACAGCCGGGTCATTCGATGCCCGATATTATTTACGCGCGCAAGTAGCTGTTGAATCGATTTTAAGAACGAGGTAAGACTCCCGCGGCACTTGCTCGGCGTATAATCAAGTCAGAGAGGGTCGCGCCCGATCAAAATTTATGGCCGAATTATAACGGAGGGGGAAACGCGCAACTCCCTCGTGCTTCTCTCTAGAGTGTCCGGAAGGATGCTCGAGCAGTGCTCGTGTGACCGCTCGATGCGCACCAATGCGGGAGCGTATAAACGGAACGACCCTCTTGTACGTACCCTCGAATGTACAGGAAGGTATTTGAAGGAGAATATCATCCCTTTCACCTCTGAACATACGATAGCTATATCTCGGACTACAGTGCGCGACATTTCCTTTCTACTTAAGGGGGTAGTTTCTTTCTCGTTTTCTTTAGGAGAGAGAAAACAAAGACGGAATCGAAGACACGCGTGTAACTCATTTTTTTTGGGGTGAACAAACGTTATTAATAATATAATTATTAAACGTGTACATTAAGTATATTAATATAACGGAAAGAAGAATTTGACAGTTATCGATACATCTTGCTAAAATCTTTATTTTTCTTTCAAATTGCAGTTTTATAAAGGGGTCTCAATGATATAACATTTAGGCAAATTGAATTCGGCAGCTAACAAAATCCTAATTGCCGAAAAGTTAAACTGAATCTAAAATGGAGAAATCGGCGCGTGTATATATGTACTTCTCTTTCTCTCCCTCTCGTATCACTGCCGTTTATTGACATCGGATATTCTCGGTTTATTGACGTCTCTCGTATCTCTCGTCAGAGGGAAGAGCAATAACCAAGTGATCCACTCGAAATGCCGTGCCCGTGTGGTCCCGGCCACGAATCGATATGCCACCCTCTTCCACCCCCTTCGGCTCGATAGATGACGGTTGACGGTAACGGAAAAGCTGCCGCTGATCGATATATA